GTCCCTAGTCTGTAGCTGTGCATTGGGTTCTTCCGTCCTAAGTGCAGGACCCTGCACTTATCCTTATTGAACCTCATCAGATTTCTTTTGGCCCAATCCTCCAATTTGTCTAGGTCCTTCTGTATCCTATCCCTCCCCTCCAGCGTATCTACCACTCCTCCCAGTTTAGTATCATCCGCAAATTTGCTGAGAGTGCAATCCACACCATCCTCCAGATCATTTATGAAGATATTGAACAAAACCGGCCCCAGGACCGACCCTTGGGGCACTCCACTTGATACCGGCTGCCAACTAGACATGGAGCCATTGATCACTACCCGTTGAGCCCGACAATCTAGCCAGCTTTCTACCCACCTTGTAGTGCATTCATCCAGCCCATACTTCCTTAACTTGCTGACAAGAATACTGTGGGAGACCGTGTCAAAAGATTTGCTAAAGTCAAGAAACAATACATCCACTGCTTTCCCTTCATCCACAGAACCAGTAATCTCATCATAGAAGGCGATTAGATTAGTCAGGCATGACCTTCCCTTGGTGAATCCATGCTGGCTGTTCCTGATCACTTTCCTCTCATGCAAGTGCTTCAGGATTGATTCTTTGAGGACCTGCTCCATGATTTTTCCAGGGACTGAAGTGAGGCTGACTGGCCTGTAGTTCCCAGGATCCTCCTTCTTCCCTTTTTTAAAGATTGGCACTACATTAGCCTTTTTCCAGTCATCCGGGACTTCCCCGGTTCGCCACGAGTTTTCAAAGATAATGGCCAATGGCTCTGCAATCACAGCCGCCAGTTCCTTCAGCACTCTCGGATGCAACTCGTCCGGCCCCATGGACTTGTGCACGTCCAGCTTTTCTAAAAAGTCCCTAACCACCTCTATCTCCACAGAGGGCTGGCCATCTCTTCCCCATTTTGTGATGTCCAGCGTAGCAGTCTGGGAGCTGACCTTGTTAGTGAAAACAGAGGCAAAAAAAGCATTGAGTACATTAGCTTTTTCCACATCCTCTGTCACTAGTTTGCCTCCCTCATTCAGTAAGGGGCCCACACATTCCTCGGCTTTCTTCTTGTTGCCAACATACCTGAAGAAACCCTTCTTGTTACTCTTGACATCTCTGGCTAGCTGCAGCTCCAGGTGCGATTTGGCCCTCCTGATAACATTCCTACATGCCCTAGCAATATTTTTATACTCTTCCCTGGTCATATGTCCAACCTTCCACTTCTTGTAAGCTTCTTTTTTATGTTTAAGATCCGCTAAGATTTCACCATTAAGCCAAGCTGGTCGCCTGCCATATTTACTATTCTTTCGACTCATCGGGATGGTTTGTCCCTGTAACCTCAACAGGGATTCCTTGAAATACAGCCAGCTCTCCTGGACTCCTTTCCCCTTCAAGTTAGTCCCCCAGGGGATCCTGGCCATCCGTTCCCTGAGGGAGTCGAAGTCTGCTTTCCTGAAGTCCAGGGTCCGTATCGTGCTGCTTACCTTTCTTCCCTGTGTCAGGATCCTGAACTCAACCAACTCATGGTCACTGCCCCCCAGATTCCCATCCACTTTTGCTTCCCCCCACTAATTCTACCCAGTTTGTGAGCAGCAGGTCAAGAAAAGCGCCCCCCTAGTTGGCTCCTCGAGCACTTGCGCCAGGAAATTGTCCCCTACGCTTTCCAAAAACTTCCTGGATTGTCTATGCACCGCTGTATTGCTCTCCCAGCAGATATCAGGAAAATTAAAGTCACCCATGAGAATCAGGGCATGCGATCCAGTAGCTTCCGTGAGCTGCCGGAAGAAAGCCTCATCTACCTCATCCCCCTGGTCCGGTGGTCTATAGCAGACTCCCACCACTACATCACTCTTGTTGCACACACTTCTAAACTTAATCCAGAGACACTCAGGTTTTTCTGCAGTTTCGTACCGGAGCTCTGAGCAGTCATACTGCTCCCTTACATACAGTGCTACTCCCCCACCTTTTCTGCCCTGCCTGTCCTTCCTGAACAGTTTATAACCATCCATGACAGTACTCCAGTCATGTGAGTTATCCCACCAAGTCTCTGTTATTCCAATCACGTCATAGTTCCTTGACATCACCAGGACCTCCAGTTCTCCCTGCTTGTTTCCAAGGCTTTGTGCATTTGTATATAAGCACTTGAGATAACCTGTTGATCGCCCCTCATTCCCAGTATGAGGCAGGAGCCCTCCCCTCACAGACATTCCTGCCTGTGCTTCCTCCCGGTATCCCGCTTTCCCACTTACCTCAGGGCTTTGGTCTCCTTCCCCCGGTGAACCTAGTTTAAAGCCCTCCTCACTAGGTTAGCCAGCCTGCTCGCGAAGATGCTCTTCCCTCTCTTCGTTAAGTGGAGCCCGTCTCTGCCTAGCACTCCTTCTTGGAACACCATCCCATGGTCGAAGAATCCAAAGCCTTCTCTCCGACACCATCTGCGTAGCCATTCGTTGACTTCCACGATTCGACGCTCCCTACCTAGGCCTTTTCCTTCCACGGGGAGGATGGACGAGAACACCACTTGCACCTCCAACTCCTTTATCCTTCTTCCTAGAGCCACATAGTCCGCAGTGATCCGCTCAAGGTCATTCTTGGCAGTGGCGCGAGTCCTGGAACTCGGCTCCAGGCATTGCCGTTTGATCCAAGCTCTCGTCTCGACTGCCAAGGGACATGTCGCAAGAGAGTATCCCGGCTAGCCTGCCTTTAATTTGGTATTTTAAAGTGCCCAGAAACTTGAGAGGGGATGGATGGAAGTCACAACAGCGGCTACATCCCAGGGCCCTGTGAGAGTCACCTAGGGGAAAAAAAAAAGTTTCTCCCCCTTATATGCAGCTACTGCTTGCGTTGCATATCCAACCTGCCGCTTGGTTCGGATTCCAGCCTGCCTCTCTGAAGCATCCAAGAAGATCTTTCCTAACCAGGCTTGCACTTGGCAACTATTTAGCCTCCCTTCTGCATGGCTGAAGTTAATCCCATATAGACTTACCACCACAACCGCCCAGGAGATGCACCACTCAAGGTCGGACCAGGAAAGCATGCTGTCCAGGTAGAATGGTGTCCCAGCCCCAGGAAGGGGTTACGAGTACACATGCAGGGGGCAGGTATTCACTAATCAGCCCACCTGCAATTAGACTGTTTGTTTTTTTTTTAAATTAGTAAAATCAAGGGAAGTTCTTCTGAGAACAGGTTTCAAACTGGCCAGAATATAGGGGCTGTGATCTCAACACTTCCCAGGCTCATCTTAGCCTAACAGTAAGAGCTGCAGTGAGCTTACTATTCCCTGAAGTGATCTTTGCCAGCTGAAGTAGCCTTATTAATTGGAAAGAGGAGCAGCACCATATTCTGGCTTCACCTGGACCACATCCAAGCGGATTAGACAGAGCTGAGAGCTTGGGCCTCTTATGTTCTAATCACAGCTCTCCCCCTGCACCTCACCGATCTCTGGCCACCTCACCTTGGTGCCGGGTACTCCTCTATAAAATAGAGGCTGCAATATCCCCCTGGTGCAGTAGGGTTAGCCCATGTTCCCAGAGCTCTGAGCGCAAGCCCCACAGACATGTTAAGAGTGATTCTAAGCTTGCTTCTGGAACATTTAGCTCTGGGTTTATGTAAAGGAGGTGCATGATTTTAAATGGTTTGCTCACTCAGAGTTATAGGCTAGTCAGTTGAGGGTGTGGAATATACTTTCCCTTTAACCTGGGTGTGGAGAGGGCCCAGGAGTGATTGTCTCCACCCTTGGGAGAAGGGAGGGGCTCCTGGAGGTGGCACCCCCCAGAAAAGCAATTCAGGCTGAAGTTGGACTTCTCACATTAGTTTTGTGAAATTAACATGGTCTACTCCCCTTAGGCATCTACATTTCCACCCCAGCTGCTCTTACTCCAAGCCTGATAGAAATCCCACCATGGTATGTGTACAGCATAGGCAGGTGTTCAGTGCTCACTGCCTTTTCCAGGGCAATGGCGTCTGTAAGGAATAAGCTTAGTACTGGGCAGGAGAACAAAGGTCTCCAGATATCTTAAACACCAACAGCCTAAGTCAGTTCTTTAAGATTTAGGCCTGGTCTACACCTCACCAACATAGCCATGCTGATAAAGAGAATTGCCTCCAAACTGAAATAGCTACTCCAAGAAAGAGTCCTAGTGTGGAAAGGTGTATTGGCAGAAAATGGGGCTTGTAGCAGAATAGCTTCTGGCCATTTGGGGACCCAGCATAGCTTTTCTACCAGTATCACTGCAGCCACACAAGATGGTTTTGTCAGTGTAACTAAACCAGCTGCACCCTCCTACTGTTGGCAAGAATTAAGTTGAGCACACGCTACTGCTGATCACAGGCCAGAGAATTTCACCATGACATCCCTGTATCAAGCCCACTTTGTTCAGTTGAACCAGAGCATCTTTTCAGCTCTCTGGAGGTACTTCTAGACTCTTGAAGTCACCTCTTAGCCTGCTCTTTGATAATGTGCCTGAACTATTGAGCTGAAGTCTCCCACTGTAAGGCCGGTTTTCTAGAGAGTTAATGTCAGGACCCTCACCATGTTGGAGCTCCACTGTAGGGTTTTCACATCAGGACTGGACACAGTGCCCCAGCAGGGGCCTTGCCGCTGCTGCCTGGACAGCTCCGGAGGCAGAGGGCCCCAATTCATCATTGCTCTGCAGCATCTTTGAACTAGCCATGCTGGTGCAGAGCAGTCCCAGAGGAGGTAGAAGACCCTTTCCATCTGCCGAACGGCCCCTTGTGCTGGACGGAGGGATGAACTGGGATATTCAGAGGGCAGCATTGCCATTCTTCTGCCAAACATGGGCTGGGACCCATCGTGAAAGAGGGGGATTGTTGCTGTAGTTTAAAGTGCTACCATCTAGTTATTTGCAGAGAGCCCAGCTTTGTACCCCAAGACCGAACTACAGCAGTGACCCCCCCCCCACCTTCCGTTTCCCAGCTACTGAGCCAGCCAAGCTCTGGGGCAGAGAAGAGCCAAACTGCTTTTGAAATCACATGGAAAAAAGGTTTATTATCACAGGTTCCAAAATATTAACATTGCATTTTATAAGACAGTTTAATCCACAGTCGCAGGGCAAAGTCGGCTCGGTGAGAAGCACGCATTTCAAAGCCACAGCAGCCACTATGGAAAAATAGAAACTTGGTCCAGGAGTCAAGGGGCCCCATTTATCCTAGGAGGTAAGGGGAAAGAACAGTTATTCCAGTTCATGCACGGGCCGAGATCAGCAACAGATACTGTGCTGCACAGTGTGGTAAGAGCTTTACACAGTAACGGCCTGATTTTCAGAGATGCCGAGCACCAGCAAACCCCACCTATTTCACTGGGAGCACTCTGCACCTCTGGAAGCCTGAGGCCAATACTTCATCCAATACCAACACTGCAGGTTGCAGCTTTTGGGATAATTAGGTCTGCCAGCTAGAGGGAGCAGGCAGGGAAGTTAAGTGACCTCACAAGAGGTCCTGATTCTCACTAATACCCTAGATGGAAGAGCTCAGATCAGGTGACCCCAATATGGCCAAAGTTCTAACAGCCCTGGTCAAGTTCAGACAGAGCGAGCTGCAGTCAGTTGCTGATGGAAACAAGAGGTGGTGGTAAGCACAGGCTTGGTGTTTCGTAATCCTTTAAGCCAGGCACCTCCAAACTTTGGTGCATGGATCATTCTTTGATCACTGCTTGGGAGCCTGCCCTCCTATCTGTGATTGGGCTGCCTCTTTCCACTGGTGAGGGAATAGCAGCTTTAGCATCTACGACCTTTGCCTACAGGCAGAGCATCCAGCATGTTTAGCTGTCTTAACATAACTTAGCAGGTGGATATGGAGGGCATAGGACCATGTGACCAGCCAGCTGGCCCAGCCACCCGCAAGTCCTCTGCGGGACACTGGTGGTCAATGGATCATTCAGGAACTAGGGCTTTAAATAGGTTGGATACAGTCACATCTAAATTTACCAGAGTCACCAGTGCTTTCAAGAGAAGTTAATACGAAGCACTAGAAGCCAGTCCAGTGTATGGGAACAAGCTGCTTTAGTGGGCACAGGAAGTTTGGGACCTGCACAGCCACTCAGAGTCCTCTCCTAGGTTAGGGGCCTTTCATCCAAGTATCTCCTGCACTGGGATGGAAGGCTTGAGTGTCTAAGGATTATCCCCATGGGGAAAGTCATGGAAGCAAAAGGGGTTGATGGGAATTGGCCAAGGTCAGAGTGACTATTGCAGAACTGAGCCTTGGAGCCCGGACTCTGGTCCCTGCAGGAACACTGAGCACAGTTCTGCATGGCTTTCCTCTCTCACCTGATGCTCAAGTGGGCCTACACCATCTCCTCTGGCCAGATTCCCCATTGCCTGGCACTCACCTGAATGGATCGGATGAGTGAGGCTCTTGACCTTCCTTCAGTAGAACCACCCCACTAGCTTGAGGCACTGCTAACAGCTGTTCAACAGCTGGCACCAGGGCCTTGCTCAGCAGATGTGGTGGCTCAGGCCCTCAGTGGAGCCAGCCGTTTCAGCAGCTGGGAGTTTAGGACCTGGAAAAGTGTCCAAGCCCCCATCACCCACCTGCCTTTGCAGGGCAGCCAGGGGAGGGGAAAACATCCTATAGGGCTCACAGTACTGGGAAATGTGCCCCTGTGTGCGCAGACCCATCCCCCCTTGCCCCAGGAGAAAGTAACTGTGTGCAAGGGAGACACATCCTTACCAGTCACTTCAACCCACCACTGCTGCTCGCCGCAGCCTGCTGCTCCAGGGCATCCCCACCACTGCTGCTCGCCGCAGCCTGCTGCTCCAGGGCATGGCTGCTGGCTGCAGCCAGCATGTTCTCTCCGTCCAGAGTCCCCTGCGGAGTCAAGGGCACACAGTCTGGTAGTCCAGAGTGGAGCTGGCACCAAGAATTGGGTAGTTACATCAACACTGTGGTTTGCGCCTGTGGCTCAGGAGAGTCAGACTAAACCCACTCTAAAGCGTTGTGGTGAGAGGAGATTATGCCTCCCCCAGCCCCGTCATAACAGATATACCAGCAGCTGGAACAGCTACAGAGAACTGGCTCATTTCAGCTGCTGCTGGCTCCATAAACCCACATCTTGCTTGGTTTACTTTGGTGAAGTGGTCGTTAGGAGCATCCATGCTTTGGTCCAGTGCCATCATTATGCTCTCCCACAGCTAAGCATAAGACAAGATAATTCATCAAAGCTGCAGCTCAGTTGCCAGTTAATCACATGAACACTTGTAGAGTCCCTACACAAGGGGCCTTGCTTGTCCCCTTGTGTGATCCTGATGGCCATCAAGAGGGGCTCACTTACCTGCAGACTCGGCGATGCCTTCAGCACCAGGACCCCGTCTTTCTCTTCAAACTCCAGGTCGGTCTCTGTGTCGTTCTGGGACCTGTATTCCTCGCTGTCTGTCTCCGATTGAGTCTGCTGCAAGAGGGAAGGAGGTCCGTGCTGGTGAGGACAAGCTTTGTGCCAAACTATACCAAGGAAGATGAGGAGCAGCAGCAAGCCCTAGAGCAGAGGACAATGCTCCAGCAGGAGCCTGCTGCTCTCCCCACAGAAGCAGCAAAGGGGGCAGACTCCCTTTAAAGGGGGATGAGGACTGGGGAAGGGTGCAAAGGGCAGTTAGGTGCTCAAGTCCCTTTGGCTTTTGGTGGGCGCTGACTAGTTGCCCTTTGTGCTTCCAGAATCTGCCCCTCCCCAGCCCCCTTGGTGAACCAGGGCTTGACAACACAGGGAAGGGGTGGGGGGAGAATACAACAAGGATCTGTCCAGATCGAACTCAGCACAGATGCATCTACTGGGCAAAAGGCTTTATAACAGCCTCCACGGTCTGCCAGGCATTTCCCAGACACTCAGGTGGACAGTTCCTGTTTGGAGACGCTCATAGTCCAATAGCCCTATTGGGAGTAAGCACCCTAATATAGGCTCACATGGGCCAATACCACCTCTACACTCATCATCATGGCCTGTCCGTGTTCGATGGCCTCATTTCCATAGCCAAATGCAACAGACATATTGTCAAATATAAAGGGAAGACTAACCACCTTTAAATCCTCCTGGCCCGAGGAAAAACCCTTTCACTTGTGAAGGGTTAAGAAGCTAAGACAACCTCGCTGGCACCTGACCAAAATGACCAATGAGGAGACAAGATACTTTCAAAGCTGGGGGGTGGGAGGGGGAAAACAAAGGTTCTCCATCTGTGTTGTCTTTTGCTGGGACCAGAGCAGGAATGCAGGTCAGAACTCCTGTAAAGGGCTAATAAGCAATCTAATTAGATATGCGTTAGATTCTGTTTTGTTTAAATGGCTGATAAAATAAGCCGTGCTGAAGGGAATGGATATTCCTGTTTGTGTCTTTTTGTAACTTAAGGTTTTGCCTAGAGGGATTCTCTATGTTTTGAATCTGATTACCCTGTAAGGTATTTACCATCCTGATTTTACAGAGTGATTCTTTTACTTTTTCTTCAATTAAAATTCTTCTTTTAAGAACCTGATTGATTCTTCATTGTTCTTAAGATCCAAGGGTTTGGGTCTGTGTTCACCTATGCAAATTGGTGAGGATTTTTATCAAGCCTTCCCCAGGAAAGGGGGTGTAGGTTTTGGGAGGATTTTTGGGGGAAAAAGACATTTCCAAGCGGGCTCTTTCCCCGTTATATATTTGTTAGATGCCTGGTGGCAGCAATAAAAGTCCAGGGGCAAAAAGGTAAAATAGTTTGTACCTTGGAAGTTTTAACCTAAGCTGGTAAAAATAAGCTTAGGGGTTTTTTCATGTAGGTCCCCACATCTGTACCCTTGAGTTCAGAGTGGGGAAGGAACCTTGACACGTTATGCAGATAACACCGGCGAGGGGAAGTTAAGCTCCCAGAGGTCCCAGCTTTGCAATACCGAGCAGACACTAGTCTCACCCCTTCTAGTTAGGGCATTATTACTAGATGCGTCTGCCAGGGGAGGAGCAGACCACCTCTGGATACCAGAGGCCCTTTAAACAAAACAAAGTTTTCCTGAGAAGCTATAAGTGTTTATTACAAAACTTAAAAGCAAAAACCACCAAAAACCCACACACAACACACTCAAAAGAGGTTCAAAACCACTGCATAAAATGAACGTTGCAGTTCTCTGTAAATCTCTTTAAAAAGCTTTCAAAAACGCCTTATTCTGAAGTGTAGTGAGATATGGTTTTTTTCATTTGACTCATTTTAGCATGAAAAGTAGGACACCAATGCTCATTTGCTTTGAAGGCAGAGAACTACCCATACTAGGTCTAAAACTGGTAACGTGCACATGGTTGACGTGGGATCGACCGCAGTCCGTACCGTGGCACTCGTCATGCCGGTACTTCTGACCCATTTCCCTGCTCTGGAAGGAAAGCTGGCGGTTAGCGTGCCACCATCTCTCCTTCTGGAGCAGGCGGCTGGGTCCAGGGAGTTCTGGCCCCTGAAGTGCCAATCAGTAAAAGTCAAATGGCTTTTGTAAAATCCAGGAGTTTCAGTTTTTTTTTAAAAAAAAAAAATCAGAAAAAACTGAAAACAAAGGACCTCACATCTACTGAATCCAGCCCATGTACTGCCCATGCAGCGAGGGATGCAGCTGGTAGACCTGCCAGGCCCCCGTCTGATGGCTCGTTGCATAAGCCACCTCCTGCTGTCTGGAAGCGTTGCATGCTTTGCAGCAGTCCACTTGCCCCCAGCAGGGAGAGAGCAGAGGAGATCTCAGTGCTCGGAAAGGGATGTAGCATCATGGGCAAACACAGCAGTGTTAACAGTGCACTGGAGCTATGCCGTGGTTCTGCATAACCCAGCACCCAGGGACTGGCTCTGCCAAACAGCAAGTGCGTCATACCTCATAGGTAGGGTCTTCGGCCTCATCCTCCTCTGGCAGCTCTTGCTGCAAGATCTCCACCCAGGACTGATGCTCCTCCAGAGCCACGTCATCTTGTTTCCTTTTGCTCCCTTTGCCGGAGGGCTTGACTGGACTTTTCTGGATCTCTGCAAGAAAGCCACAAACAGCGCAGGTAGTATCAGAGCACGTACCCCATGGAGGCAAGGGTCACCACTGCCTAAGTCTGCTCTCCCAGAGGACAGGCACAGACCCCAGATGCTCCAGAGTAGGGATAGCCTAGCAGGTTTGCCATGTGACTAACAGGCCAGCCATATTCGGATAGCTTCACCCAGGTGATGGCTGGACCTCAAGATGCTGGGTCCTGGCTAGGAGGCGGAGACACAGCTCAGGCATGTCTTGGCTCAGTGTTGGACTGGCAGCTAGTCTCCCTCCTGCCCTGGCCCCTGCTTTTTGGGAAGCCTTTGTTGGTTCCCTTCCCCCTTAATCAGAGGCTTGACCCAACTCTTTTGCTGGCTTTGGGAGAACAGTCAGAGCCAGGAGCAGTCAGTCTCCACAAGGATGAAGCAGCATGGGAAGGGCTGGGAGAGATGTGCTCCTGGGAAATCTGGAACAAAGAATTGCCAAACCAGGGTTCATCTCATCCAGCATCCTATTGGATGGCAGCCTGTACTAGCTGCTCCACAGGGAAGTGCAAGACACCCACTTCTGGGCAACTCTAGAACCATTTGCTTGAGCATAAGAACATCCTCCTCCTAATCGGAGGCAGCTAGAGATTGGATTCCCTCCTGAAGCAGGATGGCTTATATCTGATATGCTAGATAACGAAATTCATTAGACTCTAGAGTTATTGCCACAATGTCATTGTCACAGGCTAGTTACGCCCAATGTTAAAAAAGTAGTTTTATTTACCAGCGTTAAAGTGTTGCCTCGTAATTGCGTTGAATGGTCCCTTGTTTTTGGTTACGAGCCAAGTAAGTAGGCGCTCAAGACTGACCTTGATCGCACTCATTTTTTGGATCTATAGCCCATCTTCTCCCTAAACTACACATCCCACATCTTTTCACGCATACAGAAGCCTTTCCAGGCCTCTGATAATTTGTTACTCATCTCTGAAACCCCTCTCGTTCTGCTCTGAGACAGGGTGACCAAGAACTCTCAAGATGCCAGGAGTACAGGCATTGATTTAGAAAAGGTTTTGTCAGGGGCTCTCTAGCTCAGGGGTTCTCAAACTGGGGATTGGGACCCCCTCAGGGGGTCACAAGGTTATTACGTGGGGGGGGGGGGCCGCGAGCTGTCAACCTCCATCCCAAACTCTACGTTGCCTCCAGCATTTATAATGGTGTTATAAATTTAAAAACTTTTTAATAAGTTTAAGGGGGGTGTTGCAGACAGAGGCTTGTTATGTGAAAGGGGTCACCAGTACAGAAGTTTGAGAACCACTGCTCTAACTTATTCCCTATGCAGAATTATTAAGTTAACTTTTTTCCACCCCTGCCTCTGCACGTTCAGCAGAGACCTGCCCGCTGTGACACCCGGCTACTCCCCAAGTCATTACAGTTACTTAGGGCCCTCTCAGATACTGAAAAAGAATCTGAACGATGCATCAGCTGGCATCTGTCAATGCCAGCTTCCACCCCGCATTGTGCTATTCATTCCCCTGCCTGGGTTAGGTTCCCTCTGTCTTCTCCAGCCTAATGCAAATTTTATCCCCCTCACTCCTTGCCCTCTTTTCAAGATCATTAGTGTATTAAAAGCTTGAGTTCAAGGAAAGGATGCCCGTGTTTCTGGAGCTGAAGTCCAGGTTTCAAGCCTTAACTCCCCATCTACTTTTCACATACAATGAAGGGGGGGGGGTCTTGCTTGCATAATTTAGGCAGCTTAGCGTTGAGTCCCATTAGCTGGCAGTGGCATTTCCATGCAACACGAGCAGCAAAGCTAGACTAATGTCTTCTGGGCGAGCCGGACACTAGCTGCATGACTCATAGGCCCAATGCTCCAGCCTTGCCTAAAAAATCCAGCTCTGCTCCTCTGCTGTGAGACCCTCCTGCAAGAGGAAGGGTGACCCACAGAGTCTCCTAGTTAGTCAGGAGTGAGCTGCCATTTTATCCAATCAGCAACAGGGCAACGTATGTAGGTCCTAGTACCAGCCAGGGGAGCCCGTGAGGGTTTTAAGCAAACAGATTCCTACCTGGAGGAGAGGTGACTTAACTCCAAGCTTGCCGACAGATGTAAAGTGAGCCACTTGCGGCGTTAGCTTAGCCTGACTGTTCCTCCAGCAGTCAGCCCATAGGAAGCAGTGGTTATTCGGGAGAAGGTGGACTGGGGCCAGGACATTTTCTGATTTGAGGAACTAGCCTCTCACATTTGCAGACGTCAGTTCAAATCCCACCTGGGAGCAGGAGGGCCAAGTATCTGTGGCCTCAGCCTAGCCCCATTTGGAGTGTCGCCACTATTAAGCCAGCACACCGTTTTGTCATGTAGTCTACGCAGGACCAGAAGAGGAGGGAGGAGTGCTGCAGGGAACAGGGAAGGGGACCCGTGCTAAGATGATTGGCAGCTCCCAGCCACGGGGGCCGGACCAGCTCAGCTGGAGTTCTATAGTTGAATCTCCAAGGATTCATTCAGATATTACAGCAGAGATCATTGCTGGGAGCCCCTAGCCTGCGGGGCTCGTCTAACAGCTCACCCTGTGGGACCTGTGACAAGGTTCCCACTATAAGCTTGCCAGGCAGAGGCAGCCAAACACCTCCCCTTTCACCCCCAGGAAGGTCAGGGCCACAGTTTTAAAGGACTGCCCAGTGACTCTGGGTGTGGGTACTCAACGTAAGACTCCAGCTCTTGGGAAATCCAGCCCCTTTCAGGCCTCTCACACCAGGTACCTAAAGGAGGCCAGGAGAGCATTTTCCCCGCAGCATGGGCCATTCCGCCCGACGGTTCGTGCCCCAGGAGCAGCGACTCAGCACGCATGTGCCAGGCCTGCTGCACGCCCACCTTACGCTCTGCAGATCCAGGCTGCTCACCCATCCACTGCTTAGTTCTGCATCACGGAGAGTTCTTACCCTCAGGGATCCCGCTCTGACCCATGCTGTCTGCCGGCAGGTAGCCGAGGGCACGCTGGAACCTGGAGGGGATGATGGCGAACAGGAGGTGTGCCAGTCTGCCAAGACGCTTCTTGGCGCGCCGCACAGGCCTGTCAGGGGAAGGGGCGTGATAGTCCTGGCTGCCAATGTTCTCCACAGGGAGAGAGGAGCCACCCCAGGCCGAAATCTTGTGGAGAAGCCGGACCTGAGAACACGAGTTAGACTGTCAGAAAGCGTTCAAATAACTTGAGTTGTAAAATCCGCCCCCCATCATTGCAGGCTGGGCCTAGTTGGTTCGAGTCCAACCACCTCACTCATTGCTGATCCTAGGGCTTTAACCAGCAAGGCTCACTGCCATCCATCTGCCAAGCCCTTTCTACGGCCGAGGAGCGTTGCACAGGGCACAGAGGTTAACGACGCTCAGCAAGCCACTGGCAGAGCTGCAATCAAACACGGGAGATGCAGTGCCTAGCCCCCTAAGGGATTATTGCAAGAAGGCACCGTGGAGTTGCTCTTAGGAAGCACTTATTGCTCTGGCTCGCTACATTTCATTCGTTTCAGTGTCATTTTTGCAGGGCACCCTTCCGCGATGAAGGGCTAGTTTCTAGCAGCTGGGGAAGAAAGGCGAGGGGCTTAGACGCTTCCCGTTTGGCATGTTCATGACTTCCTCTCTCCACCGAGTCCCAGGGGCTCAGGGCTTAATTTGTAACGCCAGAGGGGCTGGGGCACAATCAATTTTTTTACTTCCATAACTAGAGCAGCAAGCCCAGAGGTGCCGGGGCCATGAACTGCCAAGCTCTGGCACAAATTAAGCCCTGCCTGGGCCACTTATACCCCTAGCCCCCCTCCCAGAAGCCAGACGATAGGAAGGGGTCAGCTCTCCCTGCTCTCAGTTTAGTTCTGACGGCGGAGGGTCCCCGGATGGCTGCGGGAAGGGAAACAGGGTGGGGAGGCATGGGCGATAGTTTCTTCTTCTCCCCGGCCAAGCCACCGCGCCTGTAACCTCTTCCCCACTCCTCGCTTCGATCGGCTGGGTGTAGGGAGGTGTTTGTAATAACGTCATCCAGGGAGCGCACCCTGGGGATGGGGCCTGGGCAGGTCAGAGAGGCCTTGTTCATTACAGGTGGTAGCTGCCTTCCCCCTGCCCCCACCAAAGAGTCACCAGGACCCACGCTACTGTTGGAAGCGCTAGTAGCCGAGCCTGGGCCAGTGAGTGCCCAAGTGAACGTGGCAGGGGGCCAGCTGCCTTTTCGGACTGCTCACGACCGGCCTGTGGAGAGCAAGGCTGGCTGCGGGGTACGTGAGGCCTCGTGGGCGCCCCGTGGAAGGAGCTGGCTGATCAGACCCGTGCCATCCCACAGGCTCACTTGCCCTCCTGGCCAGAGCCATGGGGGTGGGGAGGTGGTCAGAAGTATTTATGGTCCAGTTCACTAGAAGTTTCACCAGTCCTGCTATGCCAGCCAGCCCCATCTAGCGTGGATGCAGCTTATACTGACACAGGAGGACTTCTGTTGGTGCTGCGGTCTTCAGAAAGGACTTTACTGGTATAGCTCTTTCTCCAGCAAGAGCCAGCCCTCACCGACACTTCCCAGAGCAGAGCTGCCCTAGGGGGGCTAGGCGCACCATCCCCTTGACTTCGGATGGATTCTTGTCCCTGAGTGACAAATGCATTTGAAAATCCCAGCCATTGCATGCCCGGGGCAGGGCTGGACGGACCCAGGCATCCTGCGAACAGGGCTCAGACCCAGCAGGACCAGGCGTCTGGCCCGTGGGGGAGGGTATTGTTGAAATCTCAACAGGGCAGCCCCACTTGCTGTTCAGTGGGGATGGACACAGGCTCTGCACGTGATCAGGTGGAGCACTTTGGGTGCGTCTACACTGGTGCCGGAGGGTGTAACTGCAGAACACCAAGGCATTCACACACCAGTTCTGATGGAGCCAGTGCACTAACAGGAGCAGTGTAGCTGTGGGTCCTGGAGGGTGGGCAGGGCTGGGCACTCAGTAAGTACCTAGGGTTTCAGGGGGGACTGGACTCAGGGTGCCCCCGCCCTTTGTACTACCATGGCTACACCACTATTCCCAGTGGGCTAGCTCGATTGCAAGCTGGGAATTACGCCTCCAAGTCCAGTGTAGACGTACCATTGGACTAGCTACTCCAGCCGCCCCCTGCCTTGGCAAGATGGCTCTAGAGGGACTTATTTCACTGCCTGACCCAGCAAGGGCTCCCCTTTCCCAGAACAGGAGGCGGGGGACACTTTGCAGGAGGAAGTGGGCAGAGCCACAGGCTGGCGGTTGGCTGGGCCTGGGACGAGCCAGGCCCCCAGCTCAGACACACATCATGTGCACCAAGTGCTGCCAGCCTGCAGGGAGGTTACCGCCGGCCACCACGCGGTGGCAGAGCCCAGAGGAGAACGGCGGTCACCAAGAACGAAGGCTGTGCAGGAAGAGCTCTGGTAATGCCAGGCCAAGGCAGGAAGCACAACCCAACAAGGGGATGGGCAGAGTGTCTGCACATGTGGGCCACTCAGGCATGTCCACTCAGGGACAACATCACAGGATGCAAGGCTTCCCCACCGGAAGACGCTCTGGGGGAAGCGCACTGGGCTGGGAGCCAGGAGAGCACAGGCCCTGGTCTCACCAGTTCTAGTTAACACCAGCCACGCGTTGGTGCACTTCACCTTGTCACTGCCTCAGGCCTTGTGTCTTTGCCCTGCTCCTGCTACCATCTAGAGAAACAGGAGGGTGGGGGAGGAATAGCTCAGTGGTTTGAGCATTGGCCTGCTAAACCCAGGGTTGTGAGTTCAATCCTTGAGGGGGCCAATTAGGAATCTGGGGCAAAAATTGGGGATTGGTCCTGCTTTGAGCAGGGGGTTGGACTAGATGACCTCCTGAGGTCCCTTCCAACCCTGATATTCTAGGAGACTTAGCTCAGGGGCTGAGACACCTTTCCCCAGCACTAATCCAAAGTATTGTTTCCAACGGAAGTGGACACTGATGTAGCTGTTTGTGTCAGCTCTTGTACAAGCTTGTTGGCATCACAGGGTCTTGCACAAAATGGGGCCTCTATAATCCAGGAGCAACCCAGGTCTGAGCCATGGCAGTCAAGTTTTGTCCCGCACCCCAGGAGATATTTCACACGTGTTGAATGATGTAATCGGCAGAGGGACCCCACTTAGTGCAGAGCTGTCCCCCTTTAATGGAGGCTGGGTCAGAGATGGAAGTGGGTGAGCCTTGGCTAACAGAGCCAGGTCTTTTCGCTTAAGCGGTGGAGAAGTCCTGGGTGCCAATCACTGTGACAACCTACCCAGGAGCCCAGCATTACACGGGCAAGTTTGTTAACATACCATAGGCTCAGTCCCACAACCGGCACAATCTACCCAGAGCAGGGTCAGGGCTGGGGCCCGAACTTGGCAGCTCTGCCGGGTAGGCGCTCAGTGCGGGAGTCTGAATGGAAAACTGCCGCAGTAAACAGGGGTGGAGGCGTACTCCCAGCCCGGTTATATCCCAGGGAGCAAGCGGTCAGCGCCAGGCCACCTACCCAGCACGTGCCACAGTAACTTCTCGTGGCCATAAGGCAGGAGTGCAGACAACTTTCCACAGCCCGGCCAGGCACAAGACAGTCGTTAAAGCAAACCCTTAACGTCTCAGCTGGGTAGGGACTAGAGCACAAAGCAAGGGGGTGGCATGAGGACTGCCACACCAAGGGGGAGGGGCGATGAGGTGAAAAGCAGCAGGAGCAAAGAGGAACATGGTGGGGGAGAAGCTACAGGGCCTAAAACCAGGCAAGCCCCCAGCTCAGATTCACCCAGCACTGCCGCTGGTGGGGGGTTACTTACCAGGGAAGTGAAGAGCCCCAGCCGAGCAATTTGGCGGAAGAACCTGGCAAGTGAGGATTCAGAGTCTGTCCGGACAGCTGGCATCTCCTAAACCCAGAGAGAGAAGGGTAGTTAGAAGAGCCAGACCCCACCCCCATACCTTGCCCGTTGCCTCCCAGGGAACCTGGCCCCTGTCACCTGAGGGAGCTCTCTTTTCTCTGGGCTGGCCTGGGGGGCCATGGACTCAATTTACTGCTGCAAGACAGGTGACAGGCTGGAGGATACAGAAGCCTGGCTTGGCCTTACCCCCCCCCCCAGCACATTAGCTACATATTGGTTCTGACCCAGCTGCTCTGCGTTGTGATGATGAGCTGCCAGACTCAATCAGCACAGCTCCCTGCAGGCTTTGCCTCATTGCAGGGCAGAGCTTCCCCAGCTGAGGGAGTGGCCTTAGGGGACTTCTCCTGGGAGCATGGAGATCAGGGCTCCCTGGGGATGTGCTTTGGGCTGGATTCACTGGCGCTCTGCTCTTTGTGTGGGCATTTCCCCCAGGTGGTGCCAGGTTTGTGAGCCGCTGGCGTTTCACACCAACTTCCCACCGGGGCGAATAACCACACAAGATGCAGGAGGCTGGAGAATTGGGGCCAGATTTTTAAAGGTGTTTAGGTGCTTAAAGATGCAGATAGGCACCTAGTGGGATTGACAGCCTGGATTTTTAGGCACCTAAATACCTTTGCAAATCGGGCCATTGGGTGGTGCTGTTGCAGTGACTGTGGAATATGAATTCATGGGGGCCCTTTCCAGGTAGGGCCTGGAGTTGATTATATGCCCAGCTGAAACTGGGCAATTCTACCACAAGGGTTTTTCTCTGTGCGATTACTGTGACTACCAAAGCCAGTACCAATTCCCCTGCCCGTGAAGGGCGCTAGAATGGGGAGAATGAGGCTTTGGCTCGGACCCCAGCTGAGATCAGGGTTACACCGTGCTAGGCGCTCTATAGACACCTGTGTTGGCAAGGTCTGTGACTTTATCACGATACTTGGTGTTTTTCTTAAAGCCCCAGCTCCTGGAGGCATGTGATGGGCGAAAATCTCAGCTTTTCTATAGGTAAAATAAATTTCTAGCTCTCAGATTGCAGAAATTGCTTGAAAACGTGGCCTGGGTGCAACCTAAAGGCTGAGAAAGCAGAAGACAAAGAACCCCCCGAGGTATTATATTTTAAAGTCTCGTGGTTTCAGGAGGGGCTGACTTATGATTTTTTGAACCTTTGGGGTGGGCGGTGCTGAGGGACAATTGAAGTAGACAAGACCAACAACAGGGGGGAGAACAGAAGCATCAGTATCTCCAGCAAGGATCATTAGCCCCAAAGGGCAGCTGGCTAAAGGGCACAGATGGGATGTGAGTGCCGCAAGAGGATCTGTGGGCTAGGGGCGAACCACGGGCCCTTGCTGGGGGAGGGTGCCAAGACCGCGTGTTGGATTCTGACACATCAATTAAAATACACTTTGGGATAGTGATGTTTCTACAGCTTCTATTTTTCAGGGTGGGGAAGGCAAAGAAGGTCTGAGCCTCACTTTATCCTCCCACTCAGCTAACCTCCCAGACGCTGCCATGCTGAGTCCCACAAAAGCTGCAGGCCACACGGAGGAGGTGAGGAGCAGGACCCCACCTCACAGTGTGCTATTATATTAACATGGGGGTGTTGTTACGCCCCTTCCTTTCTCCAGATGGACACTGCAGCTCGAGAGGGGTAACCCTGGAAAGATTTAAGTCAAGCAACCTAGAATTCTGGGGCTTAGCGGAGCTTATCTGAAACGCGGAGTGCAAGCCAGCGGTGTTTGACACTTCCCACACCGGGGTCCTAGCCAAACGGTTCAGAGGGATCTGAGCCCATCTGGAAATTCCCCAAGGGCAGCTGTCCCCATGGGGTCATTCCCGCTGCTCTGCTGCCAGCCCAGCTCAGCTCAAGATGCATCAAAGGGAATGGGCACGTTTTTGCCTGGGTGAATTGAATGGAGGTTCAGACTGAAGGTATGTTTACACCGCAGACAGGGGCATGACTGCAACATGTGTAGACGTACTACACACCTGGATCTAGCTAGCTTGAAGAACATCCGCAGTGAAGCTTGTACAGCTCCACCCAGAGCCCTGTGTACGGACTCCCCCATGCAGCCGCGCCCTCGCTGCTAGATCAAAGCGAGCTCGGGTACGTCCGGGGGGGCTGCAGTCTCACCTCTGATCGCAGTGCAGACCTCCCCTTCGTTTCAATCTGGGGCACAAATTTAGGCCAGTTCTTATTTCCTCTGCACTGGGGTGGGGTCCCAGCTGAGGGCCTGCTCTCACTGAAACCCAGAGGGCCTCTAGTGAGCAGTCTTGGGAACTCAGTCCTCTGGAAAGCGCCGTCTGCACTCGAAAGGTCACCCGCAAGGAAGTGGAGCTAATGGGACGGAATAAAAGCGAGTAACAATACAGCAGACAGGTCTTTATTAGGGCGGATTCAGCTGGACGGTGCTAGGAGCAGGGACCAGCGACCCCTGGTTACCCCGTTCAGCCGGAAGCTGGTAAACACAGTGTAGTGCAGCAATCGAGACCGCTTGCTTCTCCGCGTTCTTCACTCTGGTTCAAGTGCCAGAACAGATGTATCGCAGCCTTTCTGCAGCTGTTCCCAGAGCAGGCTTCATTAGCAAACCCTCTCCCGTGGGGACCTTCACAGGGCAGTGCCATTCTGCGTCTCCACCTCCGCCTCTGTGCAGGGAGAGAAGGATAAAAGACCCGCACCCTTTGGGAATGATTTCAAGGTCTCTCTATAGGCTCCCACACCGATGGGGCCACACCACTGTAACTGCATGGCTGCCCCCCCCCCCAAGTCATTCATGAATGAATATTTTGTGGCTTTGTTGGATTCAGTGATGGTTGAGACAGCTCCTCATCTCTGGAGTGAGAACTGCCCCCCCTGCAGAGAGGCCTCGGCCCCTCCGGCCCTGCATATAGGGAGAGAAATACAAGGAGTTGCTGAAAAGAAGCAATTAAAATTGAATAAGGAATGAATAACAGCAAAGATACTAGCTGGGGTTTCTGGGCCAAATGTTCGCAGAGCAGTGGCTTTGTAACTAAATGTGCTAGAGAACCTACCTGGCCTGAATGTTAACGTGGAAGTGTGAAGGGAAGAAAAAGAAAAAGAAAAAAGAAAGAAAGACAGACAAGTGATCCGACCCTTAGACAAGCATTTACTTCTTGCTATCAACATACACTGCCCCCCTTGCTCCCCATACCTTATGCCTATGGGACTCAGCTCTGGAAAAGCCAATGCTCTATTGATTGATTTCCCCCCCCTTTGTATCTTGCAGCCAAGTGCTCTCCACTTGCCGAATGCCCCGCAGCCCCCGGGGACAGCACCTGCTCCGGCGCCTTGCTTCTTGGACAAAGAATTCCCCTCTGCTCTTCTCCAAGCGGTGGCAGGAACCCACCTATGTAAGCGGCCCCTAGACAGGCTCCACTTGAGAAGGCGAGCGGGAGCTGAGGTTAGGGGGCTGGGTGTCCCCTCCTCTCTCCCCTGCTCTGCTTTGTATGGGTCAGCTGATGAATAATCTCTTGTTCAGGGAGAGCAGATGCAGCCCTGGCTGTCTGGCAATAGTCATCACGGAGCGTCACTGAGGGGGGAGCAATCCGGGCTCGGTGGAGAGTACAAATTAGAGGAGGCTGCTCCATGGAGCTGGGGAACTAAGCACCTGGCTCCCAGGCACGGAGGAGAGGAGCCAGTTTATCTTCCGGCTGGAGATGTCTGTCTGGGATCCCGCGAGGCTCTGCTGGAGCTCCCCCCGCGGCAAATGCGCCCAAGACGTCTTCACTTACGTGGTGACACCCGACCGCATCCCACAGTTCTTCATCCCCTCGCTGGCCATCCAGGAGGACCACAGGCTCTTCAGCAAGGGGAAGGAGCAGCTGTGGAGGCCAGGCCTGGGGCAGCCCGAGCAGAAGGCCAGGAGGAGCAGCTCAGACCCCACCATGAAGAACGGGCGTGCCCTCCGGGGCTCCGTGCCGTGCTGTTCCAGTGCAGAGCTGGCTGCCCGGGTGGAGGATATGCCAGACCCTGTCACCCGGGCAGCCCTGTCCCTGCCCCACTTGCCCAAGATCACCACCCCTTATGGTTTTGTCACCCTAGGGGAGAGCCCCCAAGTGACCAACGAGGAGGCCTTGTTTTTCCACTTGGACTTAGCTTTCTCCAGGTGCCCTGGTGCCAAGAAACACCCTGTCACCCAGGAGCAGCCGGGAAACTGCCGAGACCCCGCGGCACCCATCGCCCACGCAGCCGGTCGCTCTTGGAGGAGTGGCTGCTTGAGAGACTGCAGGCTGCACGGTTCTCAGCAGCCCAGTTGCAAGGGTAGAAAAGGGAGGCAGGGCTGTGATCGACCAGCCAGGCCCCGCTTGCCCGGAAGAAGACAGATCACAGATGTGCTGGGGAGAGGAGAGGCAGAGGACACAGAAGGCAAGCAGAAATCTCTGCCCTTAGAAACTGCCTGTCAGAGGAGCTACTCCAGCCCAGAGCTCCCTGCCACCACCAAGAGGAACTTTTTCCAAAGGGTCCTGAAGAAGCACTTTGCACATCTCAGACATCTCAAACATAGACATTTTCCTCTCCACTGATCTTGTGTAGCAGCGCCTGGGAAGCAGGGTCTACTCTGGGGTGTATTCCCCAATGCCATGAAATTCTACCCTGTGGCTGGGCTTCTGGACATAAACACAAGAGCTCTGGACATTTTACTCTACCCACAAATGTGAAAATGGTGCAAGGAGCTGGCTGAAGTGTGTGCACTGCTGCCTTCTGCTGGGGGAGGGGGGGAATCCGAACTGCTCCACTGAGGGTCATAGGCCCTACACTGCCAGCAGTTCACTGAGATTCTCTTCAGTGTGAGGGGTGAGTCCTGTGTAGGGAGATATCTTCTCTCCTTGCTGTTGTTGCAGTGTGCAGCCCAGGTACAGTGCTGCAGCCCAAGGGGGCGGTAGATTTGATTGCAATGCCGTGTATCTTTATAAAGGTGGAGACTTTTACTCTGTGCACAAGTGCCTTTTCTCCCTTAGTGTCTGTCCTGGCATTTGTGTATCAATAAAGTATTTTTGCACCAACTCAAATTCCCTTCCATGTGATGGCTGTGCCTCGCACTGTACAGCGGGTCCCTTTGAAAACGATGCTACGGTCTCAGTAGAAGAAAAGAGAGTCGTGTTCTAAAAACCCCTTGCCCTCCTGTTGGCCGAATGCAAAACCCACTAGCAGAATACGCTTTTAGCACCTGATGCTGGCTGGCAAATTTTCCATTTCTTTAGAACTTAGGGTGAGAAGGGGAATATTTTCCAACCTCAGCACGGTGGGGAAAGCACAAGGGATGCTAGAAGTGCGCTAAATTTCAGAGGGTAAGGCCAGAAGGGGCCAGCAGATCATGTCGTCTGACCTCCTGTATGTCCCAGGACACCAACCCCACGCTAAATCCAACACCTGGAATGAGACTGAGACTCATAGGCTATTCTGTAGGCTGAACTGCTAGCGAATAAGACACTGGCCAGTAAAGTTCCCCTCCGGTACCACAATGGCTTTCTTGCGCCTCACATTCTAAGCACAGTTTGAGTATCCGCCAATTCGCGGCAGATATTATTATTTATTTATATTGTGGTGACGCCTCATGGCCGCAGCCGAGATCAGGGCCCCACTGTGTTCTTAAAACACATGCGGTCCCTGCCCTGAAGACCTAAAGAAAACGTGGTGGAGAAGAATTGTTACCATCTTCCTTTTACTGCTGGGCAACCCAGAGAGATTGAGCCCCGGCTCCGACAAATCCCAGAGGCACAAAATGTCCCCACCCCGTGACACTGAAAGGCAATGAGATCCAGGTACCTGTGAGGGTGGTTACCCCACACTTGCCTGGAAAGGGTTAATGTAGATTGAGAAGAGGGATAATTCCCCCCCACTAGCCGCTGCTGAGGGGAATCAAGTGGCTAAGTAAATGTCCCTGAGGAGGAACAAGCTGGGCTGGGACTATAAAGACAGGAAATTGGCAGCAAAAGGGAGGTTGTAGGGAAGGGGTCTGCAGTCAGTCCCAGGGAGATGGGCATTTGGGCTACAGAGGTAGATAGCCTACAGTCACTCCCAGGGAGATGGGAGTTTGGGCTACAGAGGCAGATAGCCTACAGTCACTCCCTTGTCGGAGGGAGTTGTGGGGCTGGCAAACCCAGAATGGGGGAGAGCCAGAAGGTAAGGAAAGGCTCAGGGAGAAGGCTGTAAGGTTCAGGAGGGTGCAGACCTGGGCTGCTGACTAGAGGGTCCCTGAGCTGGACCCTGGAGTAGAGGGTGGGCCCAGGTTCCCCTACCAGCCGCTGGGGAAGTGGCATCGTCTGGGCCTGCCTGAGCATGTTCATTGGAGAAGTCTTTGACTCCCTGGAAGGAGGAAACATGCTTAGTGACTTGGCCCTTCAGCCAGGCCATGAAGAAAGAGCAGCTGGAGTTGTGGAGACTGAAAGAGTACGGCGTGCAGTGGCAGCGGAAGGGGGCCCTGGCAGGAGCTAATCCCCAGAGCAGCCAGGAGGAGGCGCCCCCTAGTGGTGAGCCCACCCTGTGACGGTGCCTCATTCCCACATGTGTCTTTGAGGTCACTGGGACTCCTCGGGTGCCGAAGTGACTTGCCCAAGGTCACCCAGAAAGCTTGTGCAGCGCTGGGAGTTGATCCTCGCTCTCCGTGTCCCTTAACCAAGACAACCTCACATCACCATGCAGCAGGCTGGTGGGGGATGACTATGCTTCTCTACTTGCTCCAGGCGAGGGTGGGGAGGGCTTTGATGAGCTTTTCAAGTAACCAACTCAGAAGAATCCAACCAACCCCTGAGCTGGTCTCTTTGTTCTGATTTTAGTAGGGGGGTGGGGCTTGTATGTCAGCTGGTATCTCACCATTTGCCTGACAGTTTCCCTTTGTCGGGTCTATTGTGCTGCATCTGGCTCTTGGCTCACTGAAGGGTGGGAGCTACCGGTCACCCCAACTCTGTGCCGACCCATGGAGGAGATGAGTTGTTAGCGCCCCAATTCTAGTGTCTTTTTCTTCAGCTCATTCTTTCATCTGTGGAGGCCCCAGTTCAATCCTTGGGTGCGGGCCAGGGAGGCGGCCATCACACCAGCACAGCGAAACTCACCTAAAATAAAGTTACTTCGCACTGATTAAGAGGATGCATGGACTGAACCAAAACAGAAGCAGCCGAGGTAGCCCTACAAGTAGGCCCATAACCCTGAGCAGTACCCCTCGCAGGGCCACACCTTCACTAATGTTGGGGCTGTTGGTAGGATTTTCAAGCGCGCACAGTGTTACCCTAACTCTGTTCCCACTGAAGTCATAGAATCATAGAAGATTAGGGTTGGAAGGGACCTCAGGAGGCCATCTAGTCCAACCCCCTGCTCAAAGCAGGACCAATCCCCAACTAAATCATCCCAGCCAGGGCTTTGTCAAGACGGGCCTTAAAAACCTTAAGGATACAGATTCCACCACCTCCCTAGGGAACCCATTCCAGTGCTTCACCACCCTCCTGGTGAAATAGTGTTTCCTAATATCCAACCTAGACCTCCCTCACTGCAACTTGAGACCATTACTCCTTGTTCTGTCATCTGCCACCACTGAGAACAGCCGAGCTCCATCCTCTTTGGAACCCCCCTTTCAGGTAGTTGAAGGATGCTATCAAATCCCTCCCTCACTCTTCTCTTCTGCAGACTA